CCCGCTCGACGCTCGGCTCGGCCCGGCGCCTGCGCCGCTGCAGCCCGGAGCGGGGGAGGCGCAGGGAGCGTCTGCAAAGAGCGAGGAACTTAATAATGAGTTAGGGATCAGAGCAGGAAGCGTCGTCCCATCCACCGTCGGTGCGATCGCCACCTCGGAGGCCCACTGTGATCTTCAGCCTGTGCACAGGCGTGTCTTAGGTCTGCACATGCATCTGCATGCCCACGATTCACACACACAGTCAGAGCATCCTGTGTGGCCGGACACATTACCTGTGCCAGGATCACACACACGCACACACATGGTACACACATGCACACACACAGGAGTGCACACACACACAGATCCACAGTCAGAGCTTCCCGTGTGGCCGCAAACGTTACCCACACTAGGATCACACACGCGCACACACGTGGTACACACATGCACACACACAGGAGTGCACACACACACAGATCCACAGTCAGAGCTTCCCGTGTGGCCACAAACGTTACCCACACTAGGATCACACACGCGCACACACGTGGTACACACATGCACACACGCAGGTGCACACACACAGATCCACAGTCAGAGCTTCCTGTGTGGCCGCAAACGTTACCCACACTAGGATCACACACGCGCACACACGTGGTACACACATGCACACACGCAGGTGCACACACACAGATCCACAGTCAGAGCTTCCTGTGTGGCCGCAAACGTTACCCACACTAGGGTCACACACGCGCACACACCTTGGGGGCCGGGGGGGCGGGTGGAGGCTTTGGTTCCCGGCCAGCTGTCCAGCTTCAGGGCCAGGCTCTCACTGGTGACAGCCCTCCAGCTTCTGTGCACTTAGCACTTACCACAGCTGACCCTTTCAGGGCATGCACTGCTGGAACTTTCCTCGGGCCCCTGAAGGGACCGTGGCAGCCTGGAGAAGCCCTCTCCCCACTTCAGCCAGATGGGCCCAGCTCTGGTCCCTCCGTGGGCTCTTCCAGGAGTCCCGCATCACACCACCAGACCCAAGCTAGTGCAGTACCTGGCACACAGTGGAGACTCAACGGCTACCTGCCGAATGTATGAGCCCCAGAGAGCTCAGGCAACGGCCAGAGCAGGTGGCAGCTGGCCACCTCGAGCAGCCGGCAGGCACGGAGCATAAGCCTGCCAAGCATTGGGGGCAAGGGGGCTGGCAGCCCCTGGAGGAGGCAGGCAGATGGCAGGGAGCTGCGGTAGCACCGAGGTCAAAGTCCTGTCCTACCCCCTCAGGTTCCTGCCTCTGCCCCTATGCCTGGCCACCCCCAGCCCAGGCCAGGCCCCTCACAGCACAGGCATTGTAAGGTCTGGGCTCTGAGCGCTGCCTCGGTCTGTGCTGTCCCTGTGATGGGCGGGCCCACAGGCTGACACGGAGCTCTTCCCACCTCTCTTTCTTTAAATTCGTTATGTTTTATTGTTTGCAAATTTTAATCGTGATGAAATGCACACAACATAACATTTGCTGTATTTGCCATCCTCACCATTTTCAGGTGTGCAGGTCAGCAGTGTGAAGTCCATTCACATCGTTGTGTGCCCAGAGCGCTTTTCATCATCCCAGACTGGAGCTCTGTGTCCTTAAACAACCGCTCCCTGTCCTCTCCCCCCCATCCCCTGGCAACCACTATTCTATTTCTGTCTCTGAATTCGATCATTCTAGAGACCCCCTAGAAACGGAATCATACAGTATTTGTTCTTTTGCGACGGGCTCCTTCCACTTAGCATAGTGTCCTCAGGGTTCACCCACGCTGTAGCATGTCAGAATTTCCTTCCTTTTTAAGGCTGAGTAATATTCCATTGTGCGTATACACCACATTTTGCTTATCCATTCATCTGTGGAGGGACATTCGGGTTGCTTCTGCCTTTCACCTTAGGCTGTTATGAATCATGCTGCTTTCGCACCCCTTTAAAAACATGTGGACATCAAACAGGACAGAAATTCTCTCCAGCTCCTCCTGGGAAGACATGCTCAGCTCTTCCCCTCTCCCCTCCCCCCAGCACCTGTGTTTCTATTTTCGGGACCCTTCCCCAGAGAACCCTCATACCCCTGGCTACTCAGAGGACTCACTATGGACTTTTTACCCAAATTTGCTTACTTAGTGCCCTTAATCAAAACTGATTCCTGTGCCTATTTTCATGAAAGGATTGGGGCCCGTGCTAACAACCCTGCTGCCCTTCCTAGGAACATCTACATTTGAACAAGGGATCTCTGGAGGTGCAGTGCCATATAAACCCAAAAACACGAACTGCTACAGGCAGCACATGGGTGTAGAGTCTCAGGGAAGGGAGAGGTGGAGTGAATGGGGAGAGATGGAGA